TGCAGAATTGGCTGAGTTCAAAAAATATTACGTACCATCCCGAATCTATAAGAAAGGAACTTTATTCGTTGTGTGCCCTTCATAAAGAAAAATTTAAAAAATACGAAATTGATGAAATTGCCAAAAATCGTGGAATGACAGTACTTAGATCCCCACCATATCATTGTGAATTAAACCCGATTGAACTGGTATGGGCACAGATAAAGAGTGAAGTTTCAAGAAAAAATACTACTTTTAAAATTCATGATGTTAAACAGTTGTTTTTGGAGGCCGTAAATAATGTAAAACCTGAAAACTGGGAAAAAGCAGTAAATCACACTATTAAAGAAGAGGAAAAAATGTGGAAGCTGGACAATATTACTGATAAAATGATCGAGCCAGTTATTATAAATCTTGGTTCTGAAAGTTCATCTTCTGAATCTGATTTGGATTTGTAACAAGTAGCTGTAAGTTTTATATTAATATTTTTATTTATCTATTTAACATACCTTACACGGTTTTAAAAACTCTTTTTCTCTTTTGTAATTTTTAAAAATTAAAAAAAATGTGAATTTTTTAAAACCCTTTTTAATGTAGGCCAGTCAGTTCTAATATATTGTGTGATATAAGAGTTCACTTTTGTTTACATACACATAACACTTTATAACACTGAAATAATTCATTTATTTTTTACAATTATTCAAAGTAATTTTTCAATTAATCTTGAGCACGCCCATGGAGTGCTCGGAGGTACCAGTTAAAATTATGCTAATTACTCTCTCGTTCATAAAAATAAACTATCTATAACATCAACAGAATCTAAATTAAAGTGACACATGATAAGATTAGGTTTGATTTTATCTAAGTTTTGATTACATAAATTCCTAATTACTGAATTTTCTATTTACTGAAATAACGGAATGATCAGTAATTTTTAAATAATCTTGAATACAAGCACTTATATTATTTTGGTTAGAAAGCACATTATCTACTAAAATTTTACTATTATAGTGTCAGTAATACGGATAGGATCACTAATATATTGTTATATTTCACCATAGAAATTACTAACCAAGTCAATATTAAAATCACCAACTAACACACAACGATAGTTTGTACTAAATGAGGCATTACATATTTCTTCCAAATCTTCAATAAATTGAGCATTAGAACTGGATGGTGAATTGTATAAACACCCCACCAAGTAAACCATAGATTTAAAATCAACTTTTATTACATTGCACCAATACTTTTACTACTTTTCACTTCAATATCTTTAATATCTGATATCGTCCTAGTGTCACTCATTAAAATTATTTTGGGGTAAGCAAGTTATGGATTCGTGGACTTGGTCTCTATTTTTTACTATGCTTTGGGCGTTGAGATAAATTATACCGGAGTTGACAGGTATATTAGAGATTACAAAGTGTTTTTTTGAATGGATTTCGAAACGATAATTGGTTTATTATTTCCCGTTGCCCGAATGCAACGGGAAACCACCCCATTGTGGTCCCTAGTAAAATTAACATGGTTCAATAAAATCGGAGGACACAGAGGAATTGGTAGAAAGCAGGCCTCTTGGTTGAAGAATATCAGGGAGTGGACAGGAATAAGGAAAGCTGAGCAACTCTTTAGAATAGCTCGAGACAGAGACAGTTTCGCCATGTTAATCGCCAACGTCAAGGGGACTTGATAGGGCACGTTAAGAAGAAGAAGAATTGGTTTATTACTTATATATCTAATAGTTTTCGTAGTATCATCGTTATCAATCAAAGTTTGTAGTTTATTTTTAATCGCTTTAAAATAGTCCTGTTGAGCCTTCTTATATAGAAGGCTCCGAAGAAAAAAGTCTTTACAAAGAAGAAAATTTTAATTTTAAAGTAAAAGTAACAATAAAACTATGAAAGGATCGCAGTGATTGCTACTATAGGCCGATTATATTCAAAAGTACTGAGAAACCTGATAGAAAATGATATTAAAGATAAACAACCCGAAGAACAAGCAGGATTTAGGGCCGGACGCTCCACTATGGATAATATTTTCACATTAAAAATTGCAATGGAAAAACGAGTGCAGAGAAATAGAGAAACCCATATAGATTTAATAGACCTGGAAAAAGCATATAATAGTGTACCGATCTCCCAACTATGGATATAAATGGATAACTTGAAAATAAACCCAATTCTTATTAACGCCACTCAAAAATACTACGAACAAAACTTTGCAAGAATTAAAATGGGACAAGAAATCACCTCTCCTTTTCAAACAACAAAGGGACTAAGACAAGACTGCTCTCTGTCACCCACCTTATTTAAAATCTATTTGGACAGATCCTTAGTGAAATGGGTAAAAAAATGTAGAAACATGGGAATCACGGTGGAAGAAAACACGCTATATACACTTTTCTTTGCGGATGATCAGGTAGTAGTTGCCGAAGATAGCTACGATCTTAGCTATATGGTAAGAAAACTGCAAGAAGAATATGAGGTGGCAGGTCTAAACATGAATATGACAAAATGTGAATATCTAGCAGTGGGAACAGATGAAATATGTGACCTAGTCTTGGAATACGACAAAATCAAAGGCGTACAAACCTGCAATTATTTGGGGGTCATTTTCAATAAGAAGGGAAATAGCGCAGATGAAATCAGGGAAAGAATAAACAAGGATAGAGCAGCGACCCGTGCCTTAAACTCTCTTCTCTGGCAAAAAAACAATTCGACGAGAAACCAAAAAACACATTTACGGTAGTATAGTCCAAAGTATTACACTTTACGGTTCGGAAGTATGGGACGTCACCAAAGCTAATAAAAACAAACTTATGACGACAGAAATGGATTATCTGAGACGAAGCTGCATTAGATCGAAACTAGAAAGAGTTAGGAACGAATAAATAAGAAACGAAATGAAAATGGAGCGAAATATCAATGATGACATAGAAAGAAAACAATTAATCTGGTTCGGACATGCTAAAAGAATGCCAGAGTACAGATGGCCTAAAAGAGTACTGGAATGGATCTATCCTGAAAGAAGAAAGAGAGGACCACCACGGAGAAGTTGGCGGCAAGAAACTTGAAGAGGCAACTTCGTATGACAGAAAAAGATGGAAATTGGGGCGGAGAAGCGGTGATAGCCGTAATCAATCCGTTATTATATATATATATATATATATATATATATATATATATATATATATATATATATATATATATATATATATATATATATATATATATATGTGTATATATATATATATATATATATATATATATATATATATATATATATATTGTTGTGACCTGCTTTATGATGTTTTATTATTAATTAACACTAATTTAATTAATCCAATTATTTAATTAATTAATTCACTAATTTAATGCAGAGTCATACAATTCAATTACTATTAAAAATTCTTAGAGTGCCTTTTTATTAAAATTATTACTTTAATCAGTTTACTTTATATATCTCTTCTAGTGGGTTCAGTATCTCCTAGTTGCTCATAATCGGGATAGAACAGGAAACGGAACTAACATTAAAACAACATAAATACGCACACAAATTATTATTTATTTTCAATAAGCAATACGATGAATATTAATAAATAACTTTTGTGGGCAATTATCTTTCCCAACAAACTCCTATACTCTAAATTTAATTTTAATTACAAACTATCTATTGATCTGTTTTATAATAATATCTACTAAAAAAATGACCATATAAAAATATAATTTATTCACAAAAAAAATAACTCTTTGAAACTTGGTATCTTATTTCGTATGCTTATATTTGATTTTATCTTTAGAATATCTTAAAATTTTCTTTCATTCAAATTATTTGACTGACCTTTATTTTTACACCAATGATGTCTCCTCTCGATCAAACCACAGTTCCTTCCTTGATTGATAATGTCCGGCTACCATCAAATCTTTCCCGTTCTCAGCATCGATCCAAAACCGCATACCAGCAAACTACTCCTCCGAAAACACAAGCCCAAGCCTCTTTTGACTGGTACTATTTATTCACAAATTCTCCTTTCTTTCTCAATTATATCTCGTGGACTATGCAGACTCAAAAGAGGTATTAATCTTCTCGATTTTGATCTGCTCTCAGCTTCCACCTTTTTCACTAACCAACGAAAACACTGGTACTCAGATTGACTACACGAAAACACGTCTTCTCTTCTGATCTGCCGGTAACATAATAATCTTTCAATCTCTCCCAGACAACCTTCTCAACTCTGTCATTCCCACCATTCTTTTTTAACCAATCATAAGCATTCATCTTTCCCACTTATTTTCGATTTAGAAAATTTCCAACATGATATTTAAAACAAATAAACTACTTTCACTCAAATTACTTTTCAGAAACCATTAACAATTTTGCCTTTTTCAACAGAAATAAGTTTCCAAATTCTTGTTATCTCTTATCTAAATCTAATTCTTATTTACTTTCAAAAAATGCCCACCGCAAAATACAATTACAAGTTTATTCCTAAATCTATAATTATACTGATTCCATTGTCCTTTCACTATTCACTCAGTCTTTCACAGAAAAACTCGTTAGGGTCCCGTCACGGAACAATGTTTTCTCTTATTCTAACTTTTACAAATAAGTACAGGGTTGTATTTTAACTTATACGCCCGCGGTATATTAAAATAATAAAAAGCTCTTTATTCTATTTCTGATCGATAAACTGATCCATAACAATATATATATATATATATATATATATATATATATAAAAGTAAATAAACTATCAGGCGATAGTGCAGCGGGGGTAATATTTGTTCAATAACTTATTAGAGAAAAAAAGATAATGTAAGTGTTATCTTAATTTTAAGGTCCTTAGTTGTGATTGAGGTTACAAAAAACGTGATTATTGATTAATATGGATAAAACTGTACTGTCCACAATCATTTTATTATGTGTTTACATTTCAAAATATTGTTTGATGACCTCTGTTATTATCAAATACCTAATTCATAATCTTTGGGTAATCGTGAATTTAAATATAAACTTACCGTTAGATCTGTTGTTCTCATTTTCAATGAAATGCGCGTTCACTTCTTTACCGTTGCGCTCCATTTTATGAAACTTTGACTTAACATTTGAAAATACCATAGGTGAAGATATACAAAAATCACTGACACATATCTGTTCTAGTAATTTTAGAACCAAAGTACTTTAAATGGTAAATATTAAATATACATCGATGTTAAAATCTGTATGTGTTCAGTAAAAAATAAGTTTTATGTGAAGGAAACAGCAATTACTACACTCTACGATATCTAAACTTCAGTCGTCAGAGAAGAAAGTGCCACAGAACCTCTACAAACAATACAAGCTAAAATAAGCTGAATTTTGCTGAGAATGTTAATTGTAGGACTCTAACAAGATGCAAAAACAACATAATGACGGTATTAGATTTTTGTTTCGACTAGGGCAGCGGCAAGCCGCTTATACGTATTTCGACCTCTTTAGGTCTCCTCAGAGCGGCATAGCCACTGCTCTGAATTGAAACAAAATCTATCCCGTCATAGACCAATAGTTGTCAAAATAATTATTTACGGACGTAACTACGCCATCTAATAACAAAAAGAGAAATCATACGATTTCTACCTGGCGAAACCGAATTTAAATTTTTACCACCGTGTTTTCTAAAACTTGCAAAGCAAACAGCTTGATAAATTACTCGGCAAGAAAATCTAAAAATCATTCACCTGCCGTTCATCATGGTCAAAATTCGTAGTGAATTCAGTTTCTGGTACTCCAAACGGAGTAAAGAAATAAAACGTAATAACCGTATTATATTTTTATATACAAGAAAAAAAGCTCCTAAGTACACACCAGCCCAGTTAGAAATGTTACCGTGCATTGAGACGTGTTTATTTTCCTGGTAAAATTCTCATTATTGACGATGAAAAGTATTTTACTTTATCCAATTCCGAAATGAAGGGCAACGACAGATTTTAAACACGCAATGTACCAGATGCACCGGACGAGGTTAGGTTTAAGGGAAAGTGAAATTTGCTGATAAAATTTGGGTATGGTGTGCCATCTCAGAAGCTTGTGTTTCACAGCCGCTTGTCAGGCATGTTCGCGGTGAAGCTGTCAATGCTGACAATTAGGTTGACAGGTGTCTTACAAATCTTGTCCAATTAGGCCTATTATAGAAGAGTTTTGGACTGTTTTGAGTCGAATAGTGTATAATAATTGCTGGAAAGTCCAAAATGAAGATCAGCTAAGGCGAAGAATTTTGCAAATATTTCGTGAGATCGACTTAGAAACAGTCTAAAGACCAAATTTACGTGCCATCGAAGATTATTATTTATTATTATTATTATATAACAAATAAGGGTACCCTATTATACCCAAAAAGCAAAAAACAAAATTAAAAAATATCTTTATAAAACTGATACCAATTATAAAGTTAAGTAAAGTTAAACAATTAAGTATATCAGACAAAAATTTAATTGTAAAACAATAAACAAATAAATAATGCTGTCCGAAAAAAAAAACAAAATCCTATAAATAAAATAAAGCGCTATCAATTTATTTTCAAAGATGTTAACACTAGTTGCCGATATGGTGTCTTGGTCCAAATTGTTCCAGATATTAAAGATTCTAGTTCACCCTAGTAAAGTTCACCTTGGACCTTGCAGTAGTTTGTTCCCTCTTTAATTTGTATCGATGGCCTCTTAATCTTTCGTCTTGATTCAAAGTAAATATGGTGTTTAGCATAGCCATGATAATTTCCAACCTTCGATAGAAGATGGAACTTAAAGAAGAATGGTGTTTAGGTTCCCAAAATTATGGTTTAAAATACGGAAGGACATAATTACGCCTTCGAACGTCACCTCGAAGACGTCGCTGCTCGAATATCGTAAGATGAGTCATGAATAGTCTATCTTCATAGTTAGGTCTTACACGGCCATATGCCAGTCTTGTGGCTTTACGCTGAACATTTTCAAGTAGGATTTTATCGCCACTGAGATCTGGATTCCACACTGGTCCGGCAAACTCAAGAATAGGTCTAACATATACTGAATAAAGTTTACTAACAGAGGTTAAAGATATGCGTGTAAAACATTTACGGATCAAAAAAACTATTATATATGATCAGACCAATTTAAGTCAGTATTAATTATCACTCCGAGATCGTTGTGGGAGATTACCGAGTTTAAAGGATGTTCATTAATAAGTACGGCAGTGATGTATTATTTTTGTCGATATGTAAAACAACGCATTTTTCAATGTTAAGCGTAAGTAACCATTCTGAGGACCATTTGAATATTGCGTCAAGATCTTGTTGAAGAACATGTTGGTTAATAGTTGGATTCACATATAACTTCGTGTCATCAGCGTAAATGGAAACCTTACTGGATACAATGAGCGGAAGATCACTAGTGTAGACACAAAAAAAGTAGCGGTCTAAGTACTAATCCTTGTGTGACTCCACTCTTGACTGGCTTATCTAGTGAGTGGTCTTGCCCAACACGAACCTTGAAGTATCTGTCGAATAGAAAATCTTATATATAAATGTTTAACTTTCCGCGTATACCATAGTGAGCCAATTTAGCTAGTAATCGACGTTTTGGAACACGGTAGAAAGCTTTGGAGAAGTGTAAGTAGACTACATCGACAGGATTCCGATTGTTTAAAGATAATGACCAATCATTCACACAATGAAGTAAGTTTGTGATCGTTGAACGACCTTTGATAAATGACAGGGATGACATTTTCTTGAAGAAGGAACTCGGACATAGCTTTCGAAATAATCGATTTTATTACTTTGCCGATAATAGGAACCAGGCTGATTGGACGATAATTATTGCAATCAAGTTTATTTCCTTTCTTGAATATAGAAGTAAGCGAAGCCAATTTCCAGGATGAGGGGGGAGAACCTTGATTATAAGAAGCATTTATTATGAGAGATATAGGAATGGCTACAGATTCTGCACATTGTTTGAGGAAAAAGGTAGTCAATCCGTCTAATCCTTGTGATGATCACGGACCTCTTTTTGTTCTACAAAAATACATTATAAACCCTAAAGTTTATACACATTTCCTGTATTTATTTAATAAAATAAACTTAATTTGCAATTATAAAATACATATTTATTTTTTCCGAAAACTTTAGGAACAAGCATTATTAGCTCTCATAATTTTATCTCGTTAGCATATTTCAGACGATTCAGAAATTGTCCAGTTATTTGTGTCGTTCCTCCCATTGTAAGTAATTACCAGTACTTCCCAACTTAAATCATTATTTTTTCTTGTTATCAATTAATCCTTTCATCCTTTCCTTCTTGAAAAATAGTCCACATAATCCTTATCATTGGCAGTTAGTTTTTGGTCCGTGTATGGCCTTTATTATTTTAATACATTGCTCTTAATATTTGAATCATTAAACAACGAATTATCATTTCTAATTCATATATATTCGAAGATTAGTGTAATTTGGGGTTTATTGTGGCCTTTCAAATAACATAATTTATACATAACAGGCTTATTGGTAGATGTTCATTGCCCATGGATGTACGTGTTTGACAGTAATTATAGGACTACTTCCAAACAAAAATAAAAACAAAATTGTAGGTCTGGGTACAAGTTATTATTGGATAACACGTAACTGTTGGGAAATAATATATCATGTTTATAATAGTTTTTAATGATTCTTTACGGGTAGAATTTTGTGACACTTATTATTTATCAAATAATATTACAAATGGTGGTATTAGCTAGTTAATTAATATAATATAATCTAATAATTAGAAGAATTAAAGAGATAAAAAAGGCCAAGGAAAATGCGTAACAGATCAATGGATAAAAATAGAAGAGTAGGACAGAAAATACGACAGCTTTAATATGCATAAAAAAATAAAAGAACTAACAAATTCCCGAAATCGAGAACACCATGGGATACTCAAAGATGATAATGGTAACCTCATTGCAGACATCAAAGGTAAACTGATATTTTGGCAAGAATACATAATGGAATTACTCGACGATGATAGAATGACACAAGAAGAACCACAGGAACAAACAGGAGCGAAAATAATAATGTGCGAATTAGAACAGGCAATTAGAAATGCAAAGACCGCAAAATCAGTAGACCCAGATCAGATATCCACTGAGCTAATTAAATTCATTGATGAAGAAACACTGCATATACTTCTAGATTTGTTCAACAAAGTATATACAACAGGAATAATACTTGAAGATTGGTTTGCGTCCACGTTTGTAACACTAATAAGCCACATACTTAAGATATTTCTGAACATAATACATGGAAGACTATACAAAAAAATAGAAGAAGAACACTTAGTTTGGATTCAGAGAAGAAATGGAACGAGGGAGGCTCTATTCGCTTTTAACGTTCTCACGCAAAGACGACTAGATATAAACCAGGATCTCTATGTCTGCTTTATAGATTATCAACAGGCTTTTGATAGAGTATGACGTCAGAAACTCATGAAACTGTTAAAAGAAAAGAATGTGGATAGTCGAGATATACGGGTTATTGTCAATCTGTACTGGAATCACAAAGCAAAGGTTATAATAAAAAATGTCAATACAGAAACTATAGAATTAAAAAAGACTGTAAAAGCTGATAAAGGTAACTGCCTCATTATCATGTACTATCATAATTACGTTCAAAAAAGAGAAGAATTTCTAAGAAATAATAACTTTGACATTCTAGATAGAAATCCTCTAAATAAACTAGTTAATAATCTTAAAGCTATCATATCTAAACATAAAGATTTCCTACAATCACATAACAGGATAGAGAAAACCTTCATTTTGTCAAATCTGCAAATACCAAGACTATATGGTTTACCAAAAATTCATAAACCAAACACCCCTATGAGACCAGTGGTTAGTTTTTATAACACACCAGTTGTTACATTGTCCAAATTCATTAATTCTATATTACAATCTTCAATATCTGTTCAACCCACTTTTTCTGTCAAAAACTCTACAGACTTAGTAAATAAATTGTCAGTTTTAAATTTACCTAGAGTCTTCTTTCTAGTTTCCTTTGATGTAAGTAATTTGTTTACAAATGTACCTAGAGATGAAAC